CACAAGTACACATGAGAAAAGAAAGGCAAATCATTTTATCACTTTCATTTCTGCATTTTACTGAATACCTGCAGGCACCACCTTCACACCATATCATGACTGGACAGATTTGGTCTGCCACCTAAACCAAACCCCAAAATACTGTGAGAACTGTCTGTGTGTGCTTTAAAAACTGCTGTGAAAACTATTGGGAAAATCTGCTAATGGATAGAAGTGCCTTTACTGGTTTCTAGAAAGTTTAGCAGTTTAGCCCCTCTTTCTTCCCCAGAATTTTAAACAAGTTCAGACAAGGGGTAGAAAGCCATGGAAAAAAAGAGGTGTTGGTAGTTCCTTATGTAAACAAATAATTTTATTAAGTGAGTTGGAATGAAGCAGCTGCTCAGCATTTGCTCTGTATCATCCCCACTTGCAAAATGCTGAGATTTGGCTCCATAGACAGACTTGGGAAAAAAAAAAGGCAAAGAGTAAGAGGGAGAAGGTTGTGCAGCACTGGAGTGGAGATGTGCAGGCATTCCTTGATGCTGCAGTGTTTAACTACAGTATCTGCACCTGTACAGGGGAGTTTCATCAATTTAATTTAATTTAATTTAATTTAATTTCATTTCATTTCATTTCATTTCATTTCTTCTAAAATGTCACTTCTTAATATTTGTTTCCTTCACACACTACAGAACTGAAGAACAAGAACTCAGGAAATCTGTACTTCAGGAGCATATGAAAATGGTATTTGTGTATGAGGCAAGCAAAGCAAAGAGCATGAAATCAGATCCCATCATTCTCTCCAGTACATGAGAACTGTCACAACCTTTATCCTGAAGAAATCAACGTGGTCTGCACTTCCCATGAGGGTGACAGACAATCACAGCCTCAAACTATTCAGGATGTTTATAATTTAGTCCAAAATCTCTCAGTCTCAAGAGTGACCAACTTTATGTGTCTGTGCAGCCACAAAGGTGTTGTCCCTGTCCCTGGCAGTGTCCAAGGCCAGGCTGGAGCAGTGGGACAGGGGAGGGTGTCCCTGCCGTGGCAGGGGGTGGAATGGGATGGGTTTTAAGGTCCCTTCCAACCCAAACCATTGTGGGATTCTTTCATGACTCCAGAATGCAAGTGTCAAAACCAAACACCTCAAAATTCAGCTGAGTGGCTGTAATCTTCAATAAAATGGGGAATATTTTCCTACAGCAAATACATATTTCTCATAGTAAACTAAAAGTATTGAACAATCTGCTAGCAAAAGGAAGGAAAAGAAATATACTGAATGAATAAACATCCAAATTCCAGAGAACAAGACACAAGAGATGATGTTGAGAGCTGTTTAACAATACTGTATAAAGTCAGCAAGACCTTTTCTTTCTCTTCCATGCAATTTCTTCAGCAGCAAATGGGTACAGATTTTTTTTCCTCATTTATTTTCTGTTTCATTCTACTCAGTTTGTACTGTGACAAATTATATACCTCTATTTCCTACTCCTCACTGTGAGAGATAAGAACAGCAGAGATTCAGCCTATTTGCAACCCACTCTCATGACACATTTTCTGCAACCAAACCACAGGGATTAGAGAAACAACCTTTCCCCCCAAGTAATTACAGAGAAGCTTTTCAAGAAAACTTTGTTCTTACAGAAATGCCATTTAAAGGACATTCTAGAAAAGCCCTTGCAGCACTTCTCAGAGGGACTTTTGCTATGAAGCAATGCCTGTGACATGCACTGCAGAAGTAAATATAAATTTTATATCTACAAGTCACCACCACGAGTCAGGAGTGTTGGAGCAATTCTTTTGCAAAAGGTTTGCTTTTGACAGATATTTCTACCATGAACTTCAGAAGAAGGAAAAAACCTTCTGTAAACTATGAAAACCCCTATTCTGTATTGAAACTGTGGCAATACTTTTTTATTTTATTTTATTTTTGAAGTGAAAGATACTTTCAGAAATGTGGATTTTACTATTCCAAACAATGCCTCCAATCACTTTCATTCTGCATCGGTGTGGATACGTTTGAAACAGCAGCAGCACTGTCTGCTGTCACAGCACTGGGAAAATAATGATAATAATAACAAAAATCCCCTAAAATGCCTGCCACTTCCCTTTCTATGTGCTTGCAGCTCAGCAGCTACTCAAGATATAATCCTGTGACCATTTCAGAATCAAAGTGCATTCAGATCAAAGTAGTTTATGAGAAATCACTGATGCACCTACTGGGTTCTGAGTTACAATTCCACACGGCATCGTTTCTATGGAAGATGCTGAACTGTATTTTCACCCACCTCATGCAAGAAAAGGTTGTTTTTCTAAAGATTTACTGGGTCTGCCTGAGCTTGGAGTTAGTTAAATTCATTCTGCAGGTAGTTAAAGAAATTCAGCAAAATGAAGCATTTTTACATAAGATATTGGATCTTATAGACTCATATTAATAGGAAAGGATTGCTAAAAGAATAATTTTTGCAGCAATGAAAATAAAAAGCCTTAAGGAAGCCATCCATTTCTGCCACCATGAATACCACTGCTCCTTATCTATTACCTGCTTGTATATCACATAAAAGCACATATATGAAAAAATCTCTTGCAGCAATGAAAAGAAAAAGCCTTAAGGAAGCCATCCATTTCTGCCACCATGAATACCACTGCTCCTTATCTATTATCTCTTGTATATAATATAAAAGTACATATATGAAAAAATCTTAATATTGTCAAGACACACTGGTGCTGAATGAAAGGTCTGAATTGCAGAAAGCCCTGCAGGACTGGCAGCTCCTCTGTCCTGGGCATGTGAGTCTGCTCCAGCCCTGGTCAGAAACGCAGAGGTCAGAGCCAGAGTTGGAATCCCAACCAGCAGAATGGGAGCTGGGCTGGACCAGGGCACTGCATTTCTGCAGATATCATCTTTTTAGGATCCTAAATCCATCCTCATGGATCTGCCAACTTCTGTCTCCAGCCAGACAAAATCACACTAGAAAGCTAATTTTTATGTCTATTCAATTACTTATTAGCATTACTAATCCCATTATTAATCTTAAAATTAGCCCCAAACCCCTGCTACAAAATAATCAAAAGAGCAGTAGTATAGAGTTTTATTAGAGTAAACTATCTCCACAAATAAACATTTTCCATTTCAACTGGGAGAGGTATATAGGGCTTAATATTAGACATCTCTACATTATTTTCAACACCCTGAATAAAAAAAATAAATGAAAAGAAAAAACATAAGAGAAGCAAAGTGTCATAGGACATGGAAGTGACCTGGGAAAAATACAATATCAAAGAATATTCTCATTTAGAGGGGACCCACAGGAGTAGAAGCAGCTGTACTAGGAGACACTGAAAACCATATAGGAACATATAGGTACATACATATAGAACCATGTAGGTATTAATCACTTGCTGTGGGGGAAACAGCAGATGATTTTTGGCCTGTTGAACACCCCCCAGGGCTCTTCAATCCCAGGAGCTGACCCGTGCCCAGTTTTGGCCAAAGGATTCACCCACAGGAGGTACAAGGCTGGGACTGAGCTCTGCCAACATTGTTTTAATCCATGGCCCTTGGAGCATCACCAGCACTTTGGGCTCTTAAATTGAGTCTTTCAAATCCTGACTCCAACTCCAAGCTACACCTAAGCTTAAATACAGCCAAGGAATATCTGAAATAACTGAGGATGTCCTCAGCTCCTGCAAGAGTTCTTCAGGTTCCAAACCCCCAGCAGCTCAGAGATCCTGCCTGGAGAGAATTTCCTCTGCACCCACGTGGGGATCAACCCTGGGCTGCAAATAAAACCAGTCTGCAAACCAGACTGGTTTTATTAACATAAGTAAGTGCAAACTGACACATTATTTGAAAGATGTGGAAGAAAATTAATGCAGCTTCATTATCAACAAATCAGATGGTAAAATACTAAAAGATTAAGTGCAGTTGATAACAGTTCAACCTCCCCAAAATTATAAATAATAGTCAGCATAAAGAATTTAAAGATTAAAAGCTGGAGTTTTTATTAATGTCTGCAGTGATTTAAGATAGTCTCTATTTATGCCAAATACCTCAGAGATTATAGAAATAAAGAAATACAGACTTCAGCCCTGTCACTTTTATGGAATGAAAGTATCTTTACTTGCCTCTCCCAGACTAGATAAGGTACATTGTGATATTAAACTGAATACTTTCAGCAAATAACTTCTGGTTTGTCTCAGAATAATCTGTTTCCCCTAGAAATTACTTCCAAAGCTTTGACTTTTAACTGGATTAACACATGGAAAGAATAATTTACATAATCAAAAATGGAAGGAGCACAGCAAGAGTCGATCTTGTCCTATGTCATCTGCTCTACATAAACCACTCCCTTGCATAGAAAACATCAAACCTGGTGCATCCTGATTAGCTGTTCATGGACAAAGTCAGCAAAAAACCTGTTCCAAGTTAGTTAATGAAAACTGTTTGCTACAGAGCATTTCTCCCAGCTTTAGATCCACATGAAGAACAAGTACTCCCACAAAGAAGTGTTGTATCAAAGAGAAAAAAATCTGCATTACACTCATAATTTGTGGATATTAAACATAAAATATAAAATCAGAAGCATCATCTATTCAAATATGTTTTAAGTAAACACACCTTTCAAATTTATTTCATTTTCTAGAAGAGTCCAAAGCAAGAAGTCTTTAGTTTTGATTCTTTGCTTCCTATGAATAAACTGAATTGAACCTGGGCCCATTTATTTGAGAGAGTACGACCAGCTGACATCATTAACTCTATCTGTTTTAATTAATTCTCATTAATTCTATTTTATTCCTACCACTTAAAAGTCAACAAATGTGGGTCAGTTGGTTCTTTAGTTTTTTCATTTTTCTAGTTGATCAGAACCCTGAAGGTGCAGCTTTAAAACAGGAAAAAAACTATAGGAGGGCAGTTAGATTACATAAAGGATATGTTTATTTAATAAATAAATATTAATAAATAAATAAATATTTAAATATACCGGGTGTGGTTCAATAATTATTCCACATTCACTTACTTCAGAGCCTGCTCCAGGTGGCGAATTTTCTTCTGAGCTTCCCCTCTTTCTTTATCCAGATCACTCCGAATGCCATTAATCTGCCATTTAAAGAAAAAAACCCAGATATTTTAGCCAAAACAGTGTCTGAGTTAAGATAAATCAATGTTATTTTAAATTCTAAAAACTATTTGTATATTCCTTTTCCACTGATGCAGACAACCACCCATGGATTTCTAAAATTGTGTGAAATGCAAAAGCAGAGATTAACAGAGAGATGAAGTATGGGAATGTAGCCAATGAGCTATTTTCCTTCTCAAAGTAAATATTACTGTCTAGAATAAAGAAATCTCAGTAATTACATAAAAAAGGAACTAGATTTTCTTTATGTAAGTACAGAAGAGCAGATAGGAATCTGCCTAAAATAGTGACCTGTATTCTCTGAGGTGCAGAGCTCCTACTCACCAATTTGTGACCACCCAAACTCAATCACTTCTGATCAATTCTTACAATAAAAAATATCAAACATAAATACATAAACATCCTAAAGAACAATAATAATAGAACAATTAGCAATAATAATTCTAAAAATAGTTACAAAACCCCTTGAATTGGCAACTTCCCAGGCACGGTCCAAACCACAAGTTTTTGTAAGGTTTTTTGCCAAGGGGAGGTTAAGTCCAAGAGTTTGTACATAATCCAAGAGTTTTATTGTTTTAGAATTGCTTAAGGAACAACGTGGGGATGGGACATACAAGAAATCCTTTATCCACCTACAGTCATTTGTAATCTAAAGAAATACAGAATAAAAATAAAGAAAATAAAGAAAAAATAAAGAAATAAAATAATGAAAAAAAAAAAAGTGTTTTACTAAGTGTGTAGGCCAGTGAAAAAACACATTCAGAAATTCTCTGCTGGGAGCAGTTCCATGGAGGTGTTCACTCCAGGAACACTTAGTTGGGTTTCAAGAGCCTCCAAATCCATGAGCTGTCTACTAGAGAATGAAGAAGCTACTGCCAAACCAGGTAAAATTCTATATATTCAACAGGTGGCTTGGGAATGGCTGTCAGGAATAATCTGTCACTCTCCTGATGCTGAGCTGAATGTTTGGAAAACAAGCAGTCGATTATTTATAAAAAGCAGGTGTTTCCTTGGCTTGTAAAGCCATTTAGCCTAACTGGTTCCTGATCCAGCAGATAAGCACATTTAATCAAACAGTGACATTTAAGGCTCCTACCTATGATTTGTTTGATGTTTAAGTATCCTCAGAGGCAACAGCCACTGCAGACTCATAAAGATTATTAGATAATGGGTAGGTTTTTAAGTGAACAGATTGCAGCAGAGACTTCATGATTCCTTTACTTGTTTTAGTATTTTATGGGCCAATCCATCCTGGTTTATGGATTTATACCCATAGATTATTCACTGGCATTTTTCTTCTCGTCCTTTCTCAAAGATTTGAGCTTGAAAACAGTTACACCAGAATTTATGAACAAACTGCTGTCAAGTTATCTATAAAAAGAAAGGCTCTGCTTCCTTGTTTGCTGATGCAGAATTCCAACTTCCCTCCCTGGGCTCACTGGTTGGAGGCACTGCTGACACACTCTCACCCCTTGCTTAAGACCTTTCTCCTAAAAGATCCTCAAATCTCAGTCAAATTTTGCCAATATATTTTTCATTTTGGCCTCCAAATCACTCCAATCCTGGATTTTTCTTGAGTTCAACATTTATAAAATCTATGACTTGACTAAAAAGACAAATTTAGGTTAGGTTTAAACCAAGGCAGATCCTGGAACAAAGAATGTTTTGACTTCAAGTCAGCAGAAGGAACTAACTCAAACCAAAACCTCTCTACAATTCATGTCACAAGTGCTATTACCAAGTGACAAGTAGCTGGGATCACAATCCATTATTTTATGTTACAAATTTGCCACATTTGGCAATGACATGTTTGAGTAACACATCCTTTCAATTAAACAGGCATCTAAGGCACCCTCTGGCTGCACATGAGTTGCACATATAATGTCACTAAAATTGAAGTTTAATTTGAAGCCTATTGATGTTCTGAGTCTAAAAGAGCAGGCAGGATTTGCAAAGTGCTTTAAGATGAAGTGTTTCTGATGAAAATTACATTTTTTACTTGAAGTTTCTGATGTAAAAACGATGCCTGTTGACAATATCTAGAGAACATGTGGAGAAGGATGGAATGGAGATACTCTGGGGGAAAAGGAGTGTGGGAGAACACATGAGCACTGCCAGAGGTCAGGCCAGGTTTCATTCAGTTCATTTTCCTTCCAGTAACAGCAGCTGCCACCACGAGCACTGTACACACACAGGACAGGCTGCCAGGGGCACTTTTTTGGGAATGCCATCCCAGCCTCCATCCCCTGGCAACAGGTTCCTAAAATCAGAGGTGATATCCCTGTCCTTAAACAGCTGTGCTTAAAATCTTACTTGATTTTGTCCAATTCTTTTTTCCGAACCTTGTGAAGTGCTTGGATTCCCAAATTTACTATTTGGGGGTTTCAAAATTTCAACCTTTAAGTTCTGTACAGAACAAAATTGGAGGTGTGCAGAAGATGAGAGATTTTCCTGGAAATATTACCTGTTTCTCATACACACGCTTCAAGTTGAGCTTGTCCTGCTGAACCTTGTATTCTTGATCCTGCAGAGGAAAAGATGTGTATTCTAAATCAACAAATCCCATTTTTCTTCCATTTCAGAGCGTTCATCAAACACAGACATTAGCTATCATATAGAACAGTTCATAGCAAAATAAAAACCCACTTTATATCATCATGAAAAAATTCTCTGACATAGAAGAGAATTTAACCAACACCAAATAACACAACTATCTCCAGAGTCATGATTCATGTTTGCTAAAGAGAAACAGCAACTTGCTCTCCTGAGCTATTAAAATGCCATTCTGTACTATATCAACTGTGAAATGAAAGACATTGGAAGAAAAGTAGATGCCAAAACTCAACCAGGACTGATACATGATACAGATGTGGAACTCATTACCCTGAGATAGAAGGATTAATTTAAATGCCTACAGGAAGACAGAATATTGAACTGAACTATTAAACAGTGCAAATTAAAAACAATTTTGAAACTTTAAAAATGTTTACAGTTTACGAGAAAAAAAAGATATTCATCATTCTTTGACAGGCTTCTTTGTAATCCACCAGAAGAGATTTAAACTCTTTTATTTAACTACAAGAAACAGTCAGAAAACTTCTGTGAAAATTCTGCTCTTACCTCTCTTTTAGCCACACTTTTTAAAGCAACCTTTAACCACACGTGACATTGTGGTTATGTGACATTTCATATATTTCCATTCATAAAACAGAAACAAGCAAGCATGGTATACAGAAGTGCATTTAAAGATGGAGATCTAAATATTTAAATCACCTAATAAAAGAAAAGGAGTTGGTAATTTCTGAGAAAGAAAGTCAGGGCTCACCCTCAGCTGCTGCTTCCTTTGATGTTCAGAGTCTTGCAATTGTTGTTTCAGCAGAGCCATTTCACGGCGTAATTCTGCAATCACATCACATGTCTGCTGGGATTCAACAGAAAAACAGCTTTTGTCTTGGACTCCTCATTAGCTCTTTTGCATTTCTGAATTTATTTCTCTTAAGTTTTCAGAAACTGGAAAAATTATCAACTTGGGAGAAAAAACCTGTATGAGTTTATGGCTCTGGGTGCGTCACTTTGGGCCCTCTGGTGAGCTCAGAAATGGAAACAACAGCACAAAAAAACACCCAAATAATAAAAAATTCCTACTAAAATCTACTAAAAATTAGTAGAAAGAAAAATATCTTGTAAATTAAATGGAGTAAAGCTTCATCAAAGCTCAGAGAATTTCAGCAAATAAACACCAATCACCCACTTGTCCTATGGCTCTATGGATTAATAAATGGTATTTAAAACTTGAGTCTTTTCCACAATTATTTAACTTTAAAATCACTTTAAATATGTACCATCTCTGTACCTGTGCATATTGGTAGATATCAACCTGACAGATGTTCTTCCAGAAACAAACAAGAGTTATTACATTTTGGGTGAAACCTACACTTGCAAAATATAAAAATATTTCCTTAAACACATAAATATTTAATACAATGTTCAATACTATGAGGTCTGCAGGACTTTTTTTTCTGGAAAAAATATTTTCTGTCATGGAAGAGGCTTTATGAAAACATTAAGTCTTCAAGGGTGTATCCAGAATTTTTACAGGAGCACTAACAAAATCAGGATGCTAATTGTACCTTATCTGAATCAGCTGTAGAAATACACACACACCAGAATGACCAACCAACCTCAGATAATTTTTCAGTCAAATTTTGGAATAAAAAATTAAACCCCAATTTTATTTAAACTTACACTTATGACTAATTTGGGGAACTGAGCAATTCCTTGGATTTATTCATAAACATCACATTGATAGTGAGGAGAAGACTTAGAAATAAACCCCATTTTCCTGCCTGTTACACCTGGCAGCATACCTGAGCTTGTTCCTGCTTCAGAAAGTCTCTATCAACATCAAATTTACTTTGTAGTTGCTGAAGGTTCTCCTTGTATTCCTGCATAATCTGGTCCTTGTCTTTCTGAAGTAACTTGTACCTACACGGAGCAAGCAAACAGAATATGGAAATTGCTTTCATATTTTGGCATTTTACCTGCTCAGTATCAATTCCACGGAGTCTGCACGTCTGCCACGTGCTCTTGTCACAGAATGAGCTGCTCATAAATAATGGAAAGGTAAGACACTCCTCAAGGTGGTGGTTTGGGTCACTTTAAATGAGTTTGACACCAATTAATATATTTTCATGAGAGTTTTCTAATGTCAAATGCCATGCAGTGTGTTCCTGGAACAAAATTAATACTGTTTGCTTCTGGAAATTCCATATTCCTAAAAGTTGAACCAGCAATTGTTATTGAATTACCTTTCTTTCAGCTCCTCAAGTTCGGAGCAGACCTCCTGGTAGCGCAGTTCTACCTCAGTCTTCTCCTGAGATAATTTCTGACGTTGTAAATTACTATTTTCAGCCTCAACAGTCAACTGCTGCACACGGGCCCCCAGCTTTTGGACAGTCTCGTTCTAGAAGAATAGAGAATTAGTGAGAAAAGCCCAGCATCAATGAGGGAACACCCCAGTTGTTATTCATCAGCCTTGAGCAATGAGTTTCTCTGGCGATGCAGACACAAGAGTTACAATGGCAAAGCTGTCATCAATCATGACAGTAAATTCTATACTGTATATAAAAATAAATATATCTTCAAAATGGGGGTGTTTATTCCCCCTCAAAGTGACATCTCTTTCTCCTATACACAGAACAGCATATGCAACTGATTTCTAAATTACAAAGCCTTTAAAATGGGAGAGAAAACAATATTTCAATGGAAAACCACAATGGATGATAATATATACAAAGCATTTTTAGATTTTCCAGAAATCTCACTGCAGTAACTTTCAGTAAATTGCAAGCATCTCTCAAAAGTTGTATTTTTTTCCTGGAACTTCATCTCACAATATAAACTAATCTAAAAATTAACAAAGTAAGGACAGGCAGGTAGCATGAGACTACTCTAGGCCTTCCCCTTCTTCCCTGTATTTATGGTAATATGCAGGGAAATGAGGGAAGAACTCCTCAGGAGGATGGGGTCAGAAAATCAGACCCAGAGTGAGTATCAGAATTATTTTTATATTAACAAAGGCCTGAAGATGAGGGAAGTGGAACAGCAATTTCACCCATTCCTAAAGTAAAATAAAACCCCAACTATCTGCCCTGTACAGGCTCTGCCCTGACTGTTACTAGAGGTGACATGAACCTGAGCCAATGCACAAACCTCACACAGAGACATCACCTGAATGGCCACCTGAGCTCTGGCAAGTGGCCACAGAGATTTCACAGCCACAGCACAGCAAAATTCTCCATCCGTGCCAAGCTGCTCACTGTGGGCTTGGTTTTCTGGGACAGAGGGTTGTTTGCTTTGAGGGCTTGGGGGACCCAGAGTGAGTATCAGAATTATTTTTATATTAACAAAGGCCTGAAGATGAGGGAAGTGGAACAGCAATTTCACCCATTCCTAAAGTAAAATAAAACCCCAACTATCTGCCCTGTACAGGCTCTGCCCTGACTGTTACTAGAGGTGACATGAACCTGAGCCAATGCACAAACCTCACACAGAGACATCACCTGAATGGCCACCTGAGCTCTGGCAAGTGGCCACAGAGATTTCACAGCCACAGCACAGCAAAATTCTCCATCCGTGCCAAGCTGCTCACTGTGGGCTTGGTTTTCTGGGCCAGAGGGTTGTTTGCTTTGGGTTTTTTGTTTGTTTTGTGGTTTTCTGGGGCTTTGTGCTTGGGGTTTTTTTTTTTAATAATTAAAAAAGGAGTAATTTTTAATATACCACTGAATATAATTCCTGGCTGGCCCCATGTCCCTCAAGGAAGTTCATCCTTGTTCAGGGTACAAACCCCTCCTTATCAGCTCTATGGCATTAATGAAACTGTTCAGCCAATTCCACCTGCTAACAGCACTGGCATTCCTGACAACATGAAACTCTGAACAGGGAAACTCTGAAATACCAACAGAAAAAAAAAAAATTAAAAATCAGGAGAGAGAGAAAAAAAGAAAACTAATTTCCAGTGACAGTCTAGTCTTTCATCTTAAGCCCTGCCTTGAACTCTACCTTGTTTAATTATTAAATCAGAAGCTGCTCGGCAAGATCTGTCTAGTTTTGATGGTTCTTAAATTCAATCTTGCTGACAGACTGTGTCCATTTTTCTCTGTATTTACTGTTACCTATGACATGATCTGAATGTTAATTTTTAAATTCAACATTCATTAATAAAGGAATAAATTTTGTTTGACATTGTCTTTTCACTCATTCAATTTTCCTCGTACTTCATCCTGATGAAAAGTACAGGATGCTTTTTTGAGGGTACTTGTTAATTTTTTTGCTTTTTGCATCATTTATATAACAGGCACAAAATCCAGATTATACCTAATTACATGCTTATAATTACTTTAAAAAAGAAATTAAATAAATTAGAATAATCAATACTTATTTTAAAATTCTTTTAATGTCATCTTTCATCTAACAGAAGCATTTGCTCAAAGAGGAGGTGGGTGAGTAAAAAAATCACGTTTCTATGAAAATAGATGCAATATATAAATGGTCTACAAACCTGACAAAGACAAAAGTTCTGCTAACTTGAATCAAATATTTATAATTGAGGACTGATTCTAAGATATCAGTGTAACATTGATTGACGGGCTGTACCTTGCTTAATTTTATCTGGGGAATAAAATCCTTGGTTGGACTGGCTGCCAGGACAGTGCCCTCTGCCAGGAGAGAACAACTGCACTGCACCATGGAAAGTAAGGATGTATGTGCATGAATAACAGAATCATGGAATGGTCTGGGTTGAGAGGGACCTTCAAAACCATCTGATTGCAGCCCTGCCATGGGCAGGGACACCTTCCACCATCCCAGGTTGCTCCAAGCCCCATCCTGTGGCATTCACATTCTCTGGAAAAATCCCTTCATCCAGGATTTCCTCCTGGGAAACTGAGAAGCCTCAGAGAAAAGGAAAACAATTCTTCTCTCATTTGCTTCTCCCGTGTTTTGCTCCTTTGGAATGTGGTTGGAGATTGTTCCCCCACAGGTGATTGTTCCATTGGGTTCTGCTGTGAGTTGTTTTCACTCTTTGGCCAGTCAGTGCTGAGCTGTGTCAGACTCTGGAGAGAGTCACCAGTTTTCATTATTATCTTTTTAGCATTCTGTAAGTGTCCTTTCTGTATTCTTTGGTATAGTTTAGTTTAGTATTCTTTAATATAATATAGTATCATAAAATAATAAATCAGCCTTCTGAGAACATGGAGTCACATTCATCATTCCTCCCTGCCACGGGGATCCCTGCAAATACAATTCCATCCATTCCTGGCCTTGGGCACTTCCAATCCACCTGAACCCAAACAAATGGAATTTAACATTTTAAGAGACACTTGCTGTCGTGAGAGGTTCAGAACCAAACCTACAGTTGACTGTGTCTGCTGCAAATACTCCTCCTCCATCTTGGCCAGCCGGGCGTTGGTCTCCTCCAGCAGCTCCTGCATATCTTCTGTGTGCTTCTTCCGGATGTTGAACTTCTCCTTCTCCATCTCAGCCACGGCATCGTGGAGCTGCACCAGAAAAACAGGCACAAAGGAACAAATGGCACCTACAACTAGCACTGAGAAGTGTTCAATTATTATAACATATGAGTAGAATCAGTGAAAAGCCCAAGTATTCACACTTCTGTTCTCTCTGAAAAAATATTGTTTCTCTAAAAAAAAAATTTAAAAATTGTGGCTGCCCATCCCTGGAGGTGCCCAAGGCCAGGCTGGACAGGGCTTGGAGCAGCCTGGGACAGTGGAAGGTGTCCCTGCCCATGGCAGGGGATGGCACTGGATGAGCTTTAAAGTCCCTTCCAACACAAACCAGTCTGGGATTCTATGAAAAAGAAAAAAACCCAAAAAAAAAAAACCACCCAACACTGGAGCCTCAAAAATCTTCATCACAAAGGACAATTTATGGTTTATGATTGTGTCTTGCCTTTAGGAAGGCAAGAATTAAATCCAACTTCATTTCTACATGCAGGGCAACAAAAAATTAAATTGTACAGCAAACTTCATGAAGAGAGGTGGGTTTGTCCTTTCCGTGACCCTCTCTCTCCTGAGAGGGGGAAACAAGACAAATACTGACAATAATCTGGACAAAGGTGACACTGTCTCACAATAAACATGCTCTTCCCTTTGCTTTGCTGCTGTCTTGGGTTGAATAATAAATAAAAATATTGAAGAATTCATGACCTATTGCAAGACTAAGAGTTCAAAGGAATCACCATGACAGCAGGTAGCAGCAGGTTTATCCAGATTAAAATTCCATGTCAGGTCAACCAGAAATAAACACTTCCCTAACAGATCCAGAGACCTGCCAGGAGGCCAGATGAACCCCAGGAACAGGGTGACCAGCTGGGTGCAAAAGAATCAGCAAAAAGAGTCTTGATTACTTCAGGAAAAAATAAAGTCAGCACAAAAACCGCCCCTAAAACATATTCTCTATATTTATTTTTTTGAGTGACAAAATGTATTATCCGAGATAAACACTGCGGGAGTCTGTCAAAGGAGGGAAATATTGTTCATTACCCTTTTCTCCCACTCATTGTTCAGGCAATCATTGGTTTGCTCACACATCTTCTTCAGCTCCACAATCTGCTGCTCTTTGGCTTCTCTCACAACTTGGGACTCACGAACAAGGGTCTGAACTGTTAAAAATGGAAAAAAATAAACAACCATTCAAGACCTTTGGGATTTTTCAGTGTTGGCAGTAGATACACTCAGTTTATGTCAGTTTTCCAACTGACCTGGCTTTCTGATACTTTTTAGCTCTTAAATACTTAATGCATGTGCTGCTTTAAGATGTAGCTCTTAAATTCTGTGTCATTACAAGGTGTTCTCTCTTTTCTGCTCTGTTTACAGGGTATCTCAGAGAGAGAGTTTTGCTTCCTGAAGGAGCAAATATACATCAGCAAAACTCTGTATAACCTAAAGAAAATGGTTATTTTAACCTGATTTTATGAGCATCCTTAAGAGATAACGTTCTTATGAAGGTTGAATGCCCAAGATATACATGAAAATGAAGTTCCCCAACTTAAATTGCAAGTGATGGCATCACCATTGGAAAAAGGGGAGTCCATATTCACAGTTTCACTTTGTTTTGAGGATTTTCATTAGCTGGAACAGTGTGGGCAACTCCAATTCAACCTGTTCCAACCAAGAGCAACCACCAGCCCACAGAGAGAAGCCCCCATCCCTTGTTGGATAAATTACTTTCCCAAGGAGCAGGAAACAAAATACATGGAACACTTTTCCTTTTTGTCCATAGATTACCAAACTCCTGTATTATTTTCTAGTGTGGCTTAGTCCATAGTGTGAATGGACTCCAAGGAATTCTGAAAGAAACTAACACTGAAAAACTGTGGACAAGTCACTCTGAGGGTGAGTTTTGTACTCGTGACACACTCAAGAGTACTCATGTTTGAAATCTTCTGCCACAACAGTCTTAAAAATAACCCACTGTGGTTTGATTAAAATGTACTGTATGTATAAAAAAATGAACTTTGAGCCAGAGAGTCCAAAAAAAAATGGAAATAAGTGGCCAAAATATTTCAGTGGCATCAAAGAAACTTTTTTTGGTGACGGTCATAAAACCTGTGTTCAGTGTAATAGATCACAGGCCTCTTGGAACACTTGGGTTGGAACAGCAGAGACAACTGAACAAGAATCTCAGAATCCAAAGGAAAAAATTAAATCAAGAGTTGCAAATGATGAAGAAAGGGATGTCTGTAGAAGGAGCACGCAAGCCCACAGGCACAAATGAATGCAGTACAATAATATCACCACACAGCAGGCAACCACGAGGACAAAAATCACCTTTTTTCTCCAGTTTTCTTATCATATCCTCAGACTCCTTTTGTTTCTTTAGGTAGGTGGACTTCAGCACATCTATTTCATCGTTCTTTCTATCCAAAATCTGCAGAGAAAAAGAATATTTTAACATAAGTCCAAAACATTCCAAACTACAACCAGTGCACAAGATATCTGGCCTGCAAGAAGTCCTCAGGTCAGTCCTCAAACCTAAATAATTTTTCCAGCTACAACTGCCAAGCCATAAACAAAGAACTGGTTTAGACAAATGTAGGAAAAAGCAGATTAAAAAGCAGTTTCAAGTTATAAGGTGAGTTTTTTTTGTTTTCCTTTAAGCCTCGGCAAACCCAGTGCTGCTTTTGTCAAGTTTGGAATTTTCATGGTGCTACTGCTGCAAATAGAAAATATTTCCATACTTGTGTTGCCTAATAATATTTAAAAGCATCTAAAATTCTCTGCAGATTCAAGAAATATTTAAATAAGTTGGTGAACTTCATTACAGTCTTTTGTGCTTCACCAATTGAAATTCCTCACATGGATCCTAAGGAACAATGGACTCGAATGGGAGGGTAACTACACCCACATTTCTGTACAGGCTGAGTTTGGAAATAAAAAAGCTTGAATATTTGCACACTTTGAGATAGTATTTTAATTTAAACTTTGTGTTTAAGATAAAGATTAAAGTCGCAGAAATTTTATAACAGTGCCCCAAATCTCTTATCAAACAGAAGCTTTCATCTTAAAACAATATTACTCCATCTGCAATAAACGTTTTGTGTCTTTAAAGATTAATACGACACTATTTAACCTTTTCTAAAATATCCAACGTTATTAAACGACTTCAAAAGACGGAATTCTAACATCAATTAGGAAGGGATGACAACTCAAGGGATGAGAAAGCATTTAAACTATTTCTTATTCTCACAAAGCTGTTTCCTTTAGACTCTCAGCTTTGCTCACTGCTTCTGCTCCAAGGCCTTGAGAACAGATGAGCCAAATATGCACCTGACCAAATATTAACATCCTCTCAGGAGGCTTTGATGTGTCACAGAGTTGTGTCAACCAGCTTCCTCCAAGGCTGTGACTCAGTCTTTAGGAAACAAAGCAGAGGCAGCGAGTGATGCCGAGCTCAGAGCGGGATCAGCGCCGCCGGGACCGGGATTCCCGCTCCGTCCCCGGGATCAGAGCCCTGCCAGGGCACCTGGCATCTCCCAGGACTTCACCCCACCTCAAAAATGTGGGATTGAAAGTAACAGTGTGATTTGGGGTGGGTAGAATCCTCCCAGGAGGGCTGTTATGTGACCCAGCAAAGCAAACCCAGAGAGCTGGAGCTGTGTTAGTGCCACAAGAATTCAGAGAACATGAACTTTAAAAATGCAGCAACATAAATCCAGGGGTGATTGGTGACCTGCCTCTGCTCTAAGACAGTGCCAAAGGAGAGAGGGGACAGCAAGCACTGCTGTGGGATGAGCCTGAATACATGTGGTATATCTGTGGGTTTTCCTACTGTTGTAGTTTGCATTTTGTCCATGAAAAATTAATTTTGTTCACATTCTTCTCTAACACAAATGTTTTCTCTTTAACAGAAAAATCACGAGTTTATGATTTCCCACAGAAGCTGTTATGCTGGTAAAATAGGTTGTCTTGTTCGAACAAACAAATTGCCTTGTATTTTCATCTCCTTTCTGCAGTGCCTTCTCCTTCCTAAGTAAAATATTCTGCATTCCTCTCAGTTTATGCCAAGTGTTACCTACAATTTGACTTCCACTGAACATTAATTGCAATTGTGAAGAAGCTAAAGAACAACTGATAAATATTTATGATAATCATAGTCTCTATTATTGTTTAATACACTGCTTTTGGAAAAAAGTACAAACACTTCCTACCTTTTGAACATCAGCATCATGCTTCTGTTGTAATTTCAGTTTTTCTTCATGAAATTTACCTTCTGCTATTTTCATTTTCAATTCCAGCTTTAAAAACAAAACAGAATAGATACATGATTTAAAGAAAGAATAAATTACACCAATGACCTTTTCATAACTTTTTAATAATTCATTTATCTTTCAGAAGGCAATGGGAAGTCACCAACAAAGAAATCTTATGAAAAAATCTATACAAGTTTCTCAATATTTTCATATTTATTCGATACAATTGTTACCAAAGATGTCATCCTACAACATTTCTTCAGAAAAATGGATTTGTAGGATGTTTGAGTTGGCAATAAATACAACTGCTACTGCCCAGAACAAGTTATCATCCTTAATTTAAATAAACACTTAGGAATAAAACTTTAATATTTCTGTTAATATACCAAGTTTGGTAAACTCATTTTCATTTCTTCAGGCAGGTGTTACATTTACACAAAGAATGTCCTTTAGCCCAGATGCAGGTTTGTTTTTGTTTGTTTTCTATTATTCACGGAGTTCACATTATAAGCACATTTCCTTTTAAAGGTGACTTATGATGGGATTAAGGATTGGATCACTGAAATACATTTCCTGTTCTGCCTGTGTTTGTTCAAAGCTGTACTTGAACCCCTCCAACACAAAAATACCCTGCCAATTCTTACTCAGTCTAAGTTTCCATCTTTCAAGTATTTTTTAATCTCTGGCATGTTTTGAGTACGCCGTTAAAGGCGGTCTTCAGGACAGCTATGAGAGGAATTTCAGCCTCTCAGGCTTTTCCAGAAACCAAAAGTGACACCTTGAGTTCAGACTCAGGCTGTTCCACTCCTACTCTGATTAACAGTCACTGTTCAGAAAGCAAAGCCTGAAAACCTTTTCCAGAGGACAGACCCTGATCCCCCTCACTTTAGAGAAGGAGCAGCAAACCCCCTCCAGGAGATGACTCTAAGTGGTCTTTGGCCAACAGAAAACTCTGTGTTTGACTTTTGGTGCTGAGGTCCCCCCACCTTGAGGCCGGACACTGCACTCCCATCATCATCCAGCCACTTCCAGCTCCCACACTTTTATTCAGCTCGACTCAGAACCTGACTTGTAATATCCCAACTCACAAACTCCACAGGAATTAACAGCATTATTCATTCTGCCTTTATTTTCCATGCCCTTGACTAATCAAAAGTTGCCATTCAAGCATGAGTCTTTATCTCATACAGGCCAACCCTAAACACAGTACAAATTGTTCATTTTTTATATGACTCATTTGTCTTACAGGTTTGTTGGGACTTGAAAACATCACAACATTATCATGACTTGAAAATGTGAGCTACAAAAACCCAACTCAACTCAAAAATCCTCTGCAGGAAACACAGAAGGCTCCTCAAGAAGAGAAAAGAGAAGGAAAACCAGAAAATTGTTTCATTTTCTGAACTCATCAACTGATGAGTTGTACCCAACAACCACTCATTACACCACAGATAAAGAAATCCATCTCCCAACTGCTTGCATATAGATTTATGCAAATTAATGGAGGAGAAAAAAAATTAGGTTGACAATTAATCCAAAGAAAATAAATCATATTCCCAGCTGTCAGCCAACACTTTTATCTTCCCAAAATAAGCATTATGATAAAAGTGAATCTTCTATCCATGAAATCTACACATATGTATATATGAAAAGAAATATATGCATATATTGCTGCAACAAAGTGACATTACAGAAGAAAATCTTAGTACCAGGTGATGAATAAGTGTTGATTTAATAAAAAGAGCACAGTAATCCACTTCCAGATAGACAGCTTGTGAACATGCCATAAATAAATATGAAGGTAAAAACACAAATACCAGAAACTAAATATGAAAGCGACTCCAATCTACTTGAATTACATTAAAAGCTTATGAATGACTGAGGTAGAGCTACTGCCCTCACACAGCTACTAAATCCACACAAATTACATTTAAAACTCATTAATAATGTCAGAATGCCTCAGCTGATGGAAATGAATCCTTGGTGGTTTGTATCAGCTGAGAGCTGGTCTAGGTTTTATGATTCTGTACACTAAAATCATACAAAAATAAATCAAAATCGGGAATTTCACTCAGATTAAAGATGGACATACATAATCTTCAAGTGCTCCTGTTTGTTCTCAGCCACAGGATGTTTTCCCCCAGGCTGACAACAGAACTCCCTGTACTTGAAGCTGGTTCCTGATTCTCATTAATCTTCCCCTTAGCACCGCCCTTGCACTTGCACCAGTTCCCATCAATTTTAGCTCATTAATTCATTACACCCCTTCCACCAGAACAGCCATCTCTTCAAATGTCACAGTTCTGGGACTGCTTTCCAAAAAGGACAGCTAATTGCAAGCAAACAACTGGAAAAATGTGTCCAAGATACAGAAATCAGCCCTTAATGAATGCAACCACTGTAATAACACAGTAGGTTGCTTTTCCTCTGAATATGAGAAATAAAATAATAAAAAAATAGGTGAAAAGTCACAAAGTCCAACTCCTCATCAGGTGAGAACTAAAAAGGGGACACCTTGAAAAGTACTCAAGGTCTTCAACTTCTATTAACTTAATGAAGTTTCAGCATCCCAGGCACTTTTCTGCCCCATGTGCTTCATCCACAACTTTCCTAATTGTTAGGAATCATTGCTTTGCTCACACAATCTTCAGCTCCACAATCTGAGATAAAATTTTATAATTTTATATAAAGAAATGTGAGAAGTCCCATATTAAAGTGACTGAAATTCAATAGTTGATGTGCACATGAAGTTTTCAGCTAGTGTTGAGAGGAAAGCTGTGTTTGTGCTGAATAGCTGGTAAAAAAATAAAAATCTTCAACAGTATGTAAATTTTGTAATGATCCATGGTTCCAATGGATCTTCATCATAACTTATGGAAGTGTTAATTTGAGCATTTGCTGTAAAAATAATGATACATCAGTTTAAAAATCCAACACGCAATTTGTTGAGCGGAAAACTGCTGGAGAAGCCAGCAAACATGAGGACAACACCACAGCGTCCTATAGCAAAGCCTGGAGGCCTGGTTTCATTTCCAAATGTGCTTTTTGACCCACCCTCTCTCTGAGGCAGACTCCCAATCTCACCGCATACGTCGATACAAAATTGAGTCATGTAAACACGTTTTGTGCAGTGATCTCATGAAGGCTGGGGTGGAAGCAAAAGGGCTCAGCTCTCCCCAGCTGGGAGTGAAATGCCTCCCCTTCCATTTGAAAGCTGAAGCACATCATTAAATACTAATTTCAATCAAGGAATATCTTTCAAATTAAAGCCACACCAAACCGAGGTGGAGCCTGTCCGCAGATCCCAAATGTCAAATCTCAGCTTGTCCCAATTTCCTGTGGAACAGCTCAAGGTAACTGCATGTGCTGCTCTTCCACGCACTGCCCTCTGCACTTCAGCTTGACTTTATTTATTAAACACATATTAAGAAACAAAATAACCTACAGCAGTACCAAGACCTCCACAAGTTTTGGAGAAACCAGATAAAACCAACTTTTCTAAGTCGTTCACTTTGTTAAACACAATTTACGGTGCTCGCGCTTGTTGGTTTTAATATCTTTTATCACCAGTTAGGAGGCAGCAGAGAATATGAAATTTATGGCATGTTACCATTCAGACAAGGAAAAAAAAAGTGTAGATATTTAGCTATAGTTGGGAGGTTTGCAACTATGTATGAAACGCAGCCATTGCTGTTGGCTGAACATCATTCCTTTGGATTTCTGTCATTGTTTATCCTCCTCACAAAGAGAATGAGGCAATTAAACCCTAAGGCCATGTAAACAATACTGATGTCAAACATCTGTGCTGTCCCTGTTATTTAAAGCCATGAAGGGTGGTAGCAACAGAGCTGCTTTTATGTGCCTAGTCACACTTTCTTCCTCATTTAAAAAAACAAAACACCATCAAAATCAGCAGATAGTTATCTGAAAATGGGGTTTGGGGGTTCCAGTGTCCTGATCCCACAGCACAGCTCAGGTGTTAGGAACATTTAATAACTGTCAGGCTTGAACTGACACAGCCTCATCTGCAACTGTCATAAATCTCCAGGGGAGGGGGGGAAAAGGGATCTCTCCTTTTTTCATGACAGAGGACAAACATCTATCTTGTCCCCATTTACAGAAATTTGTCAGAATATTGAAATACCTGATTTAAAAGCAAATCAATAAGTGGCTTAGCAATATGAATCACTGAACTGCTGCCCACTTGTCCTCATTCCAGGGCTCACCCTCAGGCCAGGGGGGACATCTCAGAGCTTTAACATCCATCAGATTGGGGGTTTTGGCTATTTGACAAAACAGAACTTGTTGCTTGCCAGGTTTTGGTTTTTTTTTTCCCAAGCCTATGAATATATGGGGGAGGGAGGGAGGAAGCGAGGAAGGGGGAGAAGGATGTAAACAATAAATGAGAACTTCAAAGTAAGAACTAACAATGCAGAACAATGACTTGTGTATCTTACAGTACACGACAAAAGTTATTTGTCTTGGTGTTCTGCAGCTGCTAAAAGGAATCAGTGCACAGCACACAAAGCTTTGATATTTCCACAGAAGAAAAAGGTTTCTTAAAAAATATCAACAAACAAGTCAAACTTTCTACCAAATTGTGCTTACTCAATTTTCACATGCAGGGTTAAAATAATAAATATTGATAATTTATACAGTGTTTTAAACCATACAGGAAGGCCAAGACAGAAGAGACTGGACTTGCAAAACAGTCAAGATTTATTATAAATACACACTGACTTCAGACTAAGGTAATTTGGAACAGTGTATTTCACTTGATCATTAACAAGCTGTCTGATCTCATTGTGTCATTTCTGTATCACACTGTACCCTCAAAAATTTTTAAGACTAGCTTTGAGGTATATTAATACTTTCCACATTTTACAAAAAAGACTCAGGGTATTTAAAAGAAAATCACTGGTGTGAAAAACAGGAAAAAAATTATATTTCATGACAATATATTTGAAGAGAAGTTTCTACAGTAAATGTAAATTTTAATCATACTGGAACTAATCTTCAATTTTCAAATTGAACAGCTGAAAACT